AAATAGGAGTAGTGTAGTAAATTAGAGAGGGGTAATTTAAATAGACAAATTGGAAGGTTGGTGTTGAATTCAACCTAGAGGACTGTATGATAGTTCCTTTAAGCCCTAAAAATTCTGACGATGTTTCTCTCTCATAACCTACATACCCTAGCTTTGCACTTCTCCAACTTTTCAGAGATTTGTGTAATTTCTTTGATTATGACACTACCATCATCACTCTTTTGCTTTGCTTTCACTTTCATTGCATTTACATTACCAGTACTACTCCTTTTTATCTCCATTCTGTCTCCTTTAATTTTATGTAATTTTTATTGATTACAATCCCTTCCAAGTTTTTTAATATCCTACCTTGAAGTATGGTCTATTTAGATAATTTTTTACAAAAATATCACACAACAAAAAGTGTTATTGAACTTTGTAACTATACTAGTACTTTGTACATCTTATTTATTGAATTTAATGTTAAATTTTGTAGATTAAAGAATAGTGCTCGTATTATTTGTAGACGCAGAGAAAAATAGTATAAACTAGAGTAAATATCACAATCTCGGTAATTCAAATCTTAATTTAACGACTTTACTAATAACAAAAAGTACTGAAAGTTGGTATTCACAAATGTCATGTATCTTTACATATATGCGAAGTCCTTTTATGTGATTAATTGAGACTCCTCGTTCACTGCATGACTAAGATCGGATCTATTACATACCAGTATACCACTAAACTAAATTGTACTTAATTGATGTTGATGTGTTGAGTATACATTTGCGTTTGGTATAACTTATGAAAATGGAGTGGAAAGGAAACAAATAAGTGAGAGGAAAGGAATCATTTAACTATTAACTTTTTTATTTATTTGGTTTAATCATGGAAATGAATCACTTCAACTATCTTCCTTTATTTTTGTTTGAGGAGAGTAAGGGTAATTGTTACCTTAGGTTTTGAAGGTAGAGGTAACAAATGGTGGAAACCAATACCTAATTGTTATCCAAACCTTCCAACCAAACACTTAGTAACGGTAATGGATTATTTGAATCCGTTTCCAATCAAAAAACACTACTCCAACCAAACATGCTCTTAATATGAGAGTATGCAAATCTTAGCTTCCTATCAAATACGGAGCACCTATCAAGTAAGACTTGACTCCATTGATAAAGCTTGTAACATACGTCCCAATGACTAAGTTGGGTTATTCTCCTTACCTTAAAAAATTACCTTGCTATATACCCCATATGAAGCAAGTCTTGTTTCACAGGATTCATGATAAGTTCATTTTCCAAGATAAAAATCCACCTGTCCTAAAACGATAGGGAAGGGAGTAAAATAGAAAATAAATGTCTCAAATCGATCTATCACACTGATTGTCACATGATCAAGTTAAAAGATTTTGATTTGCTAGCAAAGGATTTTGGATTTGGAAAATGCATAAATTTCTAAATACCAAATAATGAGATGAATTGCTTTAATTTTGTGCTTACCTCATTAGTCATAAATCATCAAGACTCAAGAGGGTGGCTGAGCCAGCCGCTTTCCCTCTGTTACACTTCCCTTTTTTCTCACTAGTAATTATTATTAGGACTACTTTGATTCATGTTTTTTTTTATTCTCTCCAAATAACCATATCTCTCAATATACCAGTTTTATTGGTTGCTTGGACCGACCTATCAATTAAGGTTTTTTGTTTTAATTTTGTACTAATTTTGTATTAATATTATGTTGAGAATTTCATGTCTGTTATGTGTGTAGTTTATATGAGTAAGTAAAAGTGCTACTTCAATTCGTAAGTTATATTTAAAGAGTTTAAAAGTGACTAAACTATTAGATTATTTTAGTCGATGACAATTGAATTTGAAGATAGAGTGTCATGGCTTAAATTGTGTTGTATATGTCTCTCAGCTTGATGCGGTTTAGTATAGATCCAAAAATTGGTATATGAGTTGAATATACGACTAGACAACAAAATCAAGAAACAAGTAAGAAGATGATTGTGACACTGATACCATACAAGTGTACAACTATACAAGTATTACTAACCTCTTCTAAATCATACAGTACTTTGCACTCAAGATATAAATTCACTTGAATCAATCTCTAGTGTGGGCCGATGGTAGATCTATTTTGTATTCTTCACATTTTCAATGATTTTTATTTTTTTTTTTAAGAAAAACACTATGACAATGACATGATTTTACTTGACCCAAAAAAAATACGTAGTAAATAAAAGGAAGGACTACTTACAAACCAAAATTTATATAATGATGAAAGAGGATTATGGTGATACACAAACTGTATTAGATCCAAAGCATGACTCAATGTAACATGCAATGTTAGAAGCTGTGAGATGATTAAAAAATATTTAAGTAAACCAAAGGTATTCGACCATATATTTTACTCATATAGAAATTGACAACATTCTAAAAAAATGATGGTCGATCTTCAAAAAAAGAATGGACAACAGTTTTTTGAATTTGACCATATACAAATTAAAGTCTCCCAACTCGATAATGATATACATAAAACTGATATGAACCAAATTCCATCTAAATGACTCATTTACCATAAGCAATGTAATCAAAAGTTTATGTTTTTTTGTGTTTAGAGAGCCATAAGGGTGGAGGTGAGAATGTATCCCATAAACTCCTGAAATCGGGAAAGAAGGTCTAACCACTTGAGGTATCCCACATTATTTCAAAAATTTATGTTTTGACAAAAAGTGAAATCGGAGTTGATGAGTCATTGTCAAAATTTTCATATGTACATTTTGCAAATTGTAAATGCATAATGTATGATGAATTAAGATTGGAACTTGGGCAGGGTTAAGTCATGCAAGTTAATAATCTGAGTGGCTGGACCACCCTCTAGCCGACTTGAATATATTGGAAGCTATAAATAAATAAATAAATGATAACAAAAATAGGCAGATTACTAATATGAGTCTACTGTATAGACTGAATGGTGGGTAGCTCTGATATCCTGAAAATGGGCATTTTTGTTCTACAATTATTCATCTTCAGATCCTCTATTTCTTTTCTTCATTTTAACTTTAAGATTCAGATCTACTTGATTTATTATAGCCAAACATTCAAGGGAGAAACTTGCATTGACATAGAAATAAAATAATTTTGTTTTGTTTAATCTAGGAGGAGAATTCAATTTAAATTACACGATTTATAGTGTAAAAGTTTATCCATACGTTACCTACACAAAGTAGGTACATGCTTATGAGATTTATATATACTCCGTAAAATTCATGTTTAAGGATTTTATGTTATGTGGAAGAAACTTTTCCATGTGACTTTCTTTTTATCTTCAAAGTGATGCATGCATGTCAAATTGCCAATGTTTAACTACTCTACAATATATGAACTGAGCTTAGTTGATATAAGTATTATATTATTGTATTGTTTGTTATATGTTGGTTACTTGGTTATGACCTATTCCTTAACAACCCTTTGAAGATTCATCATCGTTCTTACTAACAACCCTTTGACGATCCAACATTGCTCTTGCTTTATTGATGCATGAGCAATCCTCTAAGGCTGAGTTTAGTTGAATACCATGGAGTCTCATAGGGTTGTGTGAATTTGAGAAGATTTATTGTATTTATTTTAATTTATTTTTGCGGTGTGTGTAAAGAGAACTGCAAAGTGCACTGATGTGAAAGGGATTTGATCACATATATATCTCAGGTACCATCCCTAAGATTTTAACCAACTAAATTAATTGGCGTCCAAAAAGTCTTTATTTACTGTATAAACTTTCAAAATTATTTATTTTACTACGGAGTATATATTTAATTGTATTTTGATAGAGATTAAGATTGAATTTTTTTTATGGGTCCTATATATAAGGAGTAATCGATTCCAACATGTAAAACTCAATTAGGAGCTTAGTTTTATTAATTATTGAATATTCAAATTTGATTTTCCATTGCAATATTTTCAATTTTAATTTATTCGTAAATGTTAGAAGGGGTAAGATAGGTTGTGCTCTTTTGCCTGATTTGAGACGATCGACTAATCTACAATTATCAATACACTCAAGTAGTCAAGTGTAATTCTTAATATTACTAGGTATTTATTTGTTAAAACTAAAAATGATACACGACTTTGAAGTTGTCAAAAATTAATCAGTACTCTCATGAATAAATAATAATAATAATAATAATAATAATAATAATAATAATAATAATAATAATAATAATAATAATAATAATAATAATAATAATAATAATAAAAAATATATATAAAAAAAAAAAAAAATCATGCATAATTGGCTTAATTGCATATCTATAGTATTTGTTATATCCCTTTTTAATTGGTCGAAAAGCCCTCTCTAAAAGGAGTGGAGAATAGAAACCTTTATGCAGATTAGCAGGACCCATACCTTTTCATGTACTCCATCTACTTATTGTATGCTCATTTCATAAAAATGTAACACAAGTTTACGTGAGTTATTTTCTCAGCAGGTATAAAATTAATCTTTCTCGTAAAGATTAGAGAGAGGAATCGGATATGTTCTTTATAGAGAACGGGTCTAATGAATTACATAAAAGGTGTATTCTCTTTACCTTAAAATTTCTGAACTTATTAATTGAAGTATATCTTATATATTAGTCCTGATTTTCACCTTAAGATTGAAAATATTTCCTTAATTGTATAATAAATAATTGCAGGACTGTATATGACAATGATAATGAGGTAATTATGAAGTACAGGCAAACTACTTACCCAAAAGTATAAATTATACTATAGAATAACAACTATAAGTCATACGGAAATTATGCAACGAGTAAAACATAATTAATTATTTATGAATTGGTTGAGGGTCGATTTTTATTATAGGTTGCATTGTATCAAAGAGTATTGACTGTGGAGTATATGCAACACTAAACAAAATCGACAACGTACATAACATAACACAACCACACAAATTATATGGATACCCAATCATGACTCGACTTGATACTTTGGTGTACACAATATGGGTTTATATGGGGATTATGGGTCAAGTTACATGCCGGATTTTCCACTACTCAATAAAGCCCATCCGACGTTTCAAATACTAAACATTCAAAACTCCTAGCTACTAAACGAACACCAATTTTCTTTGCGGCTTGAGTAAAAGATTAAAAATAAAAACCATACCATTAAACCTAAGGCTTTTTTTTTTTTTTTTTTTTAAAAAAATAAAATAAAATAAAAATGCTTGAAATAATTTTTGAGACTTCCCACGACCAAGATTACATCAAACAAACCAGAAAACAAAGATCATGGGATTCAAATAAAATACTCCATGTTGAACTGCATCTTTCATTAAAATCCTGAAAGTACATACGAGAACATGCAATAAATGGCACTCACTTCACTCCTCACAATGCTTTTAATAATGTCATAAAACATCAGAAATTCCAAATTCTACTTCATTTTTCTGATTTGTCCAATTAATTAAACAACCTATTATAAGACTAAGACATCATCATCAACATATCATGAACTCACACTTACACATACATGAATATCATTATTAACAGTAGACACTATCATTAACTTTTAATTTCTCTCAGAAGAATTAAAAATAAATAAATAAATAAATAAATTATGGGGTATAATATTTATAAGTATTTAATTACACTTGGAATTATTTGCACTCACTTTTCTGAAACTGCAATGATTACTATTGAAAAATGCACCCTAACTCAAACCACCTTTAATTTATTTTTATTTTTTTAAAAATAGAACACATTACTGAGTTTCTTGAATATGGTAAAAAAAAAAAAAAAAAAAAAAAAAGTGCTAGAATCAACATGTAAATTGGTAAAGTAGTTGTTTCATTTTAATCAAAGGTCCTCTTACATTAAATCATACTCCGTGAAAAGAAAACAATTATTTATGGGAGGGATTTTTTCCTGATTGAAACCTAACTCAACTTAAATTCAGATTAGTCGAAATCACTTTAATTTAACGGGTGACTTGCTATTTAAAAATAAAAAAGCTTTTTAAAAGACATTCATTCATTCATTTTCTCTCTCTTTCTTCAAATCAAACTTCTCCATAACTTTTCACCCAAGCAATATATATCCAGTCTTTCTACAAACCTCTTTTGTCCCTTCCTTTTTTCTACAACTCTCTCTCTCTCTAGCATAAACTCCCAACATACTTCTCTCTAAAATAAACCCTCTATTCCAAACAAAAAATAAACTACAAATAATTGTTGAAATTCTTCCAAATTTATTTCAAAACATTCATAAAATGGAACAACAGCAGCAGCAAGATGAGATGAACATGAGCTTAAACAGTGGAAAAATGAGTAATAATAACACTACAAATACAAGCAACAACTACCTTTGTAGACAAAGCAGTACAAGATGGACACCAACAACAGAGCAAATAAAGCTTCTTAAAGAGCTTTACTACATCAACGGAGTTCGGTCTCCGACTGCTGATCAGATTCAGAGCATTTGTGCTCGGCTAAGGCGGTATGGCAAGATCGAAGGCAAGAACGTCTTCTACTGGTTTCAAAATCATAAGGCTAGGGAGAGACAGAAGAAGAGGCTTACTCCTACCTCCCCTACTACTAATAACGCTATTAATAATACTATTACTACTAATAATAGTAATAATGTTGGTAGAAATAATAATTTCGTCAGAAATGGTGGTCTTACTTGGATACAAGATCATCAGGATATCACTCTTCATGCTAATAAGTACCCTTGCACCATTAATAATCCTGGTAAATATTTTTACAACCTTTTTTTTTGTTTTGTTTTTTGTTTTTGAGGGTGTGTAAGAAAATGAGAAGTATATTGTTTTTGTTAGTTGGTTGTGTAAAATTTGTAATATGCTATGATGAAGAGGCTCATTTTGAAGCATGTTTGTTGCTGTTTTTGTAATTTTGCAGTTAATTCATTTGTGTGTGAAAATTAGTTATGTTGACATATTTGGGTGTTTTGTGAAATATGTTGCAGGGGTTTCGTGTTCGAGTTCATCAAATGGACATGTGATTCCTGGTGGAGGACAGTTGATGGGGGGTTTTGGGTATGGAGCTGTTAACATGGAGAATAAGTTTAGGGTAAGTACACTTACCTCTTTTGCCCTAAACCTCCTTGTTAATATTACAAGTATTAATTAACTATTAGCTACTTGAATTTCTCACATATATGCATATAATTAAGTACTAAACTACTTTTAGCTTTGGTCCTTAATATTGATCCTGCAAAATCTAAAACCGAAATCTTAATAGTTCTTCAAGAAGGATGTGTGTAACACAATTAAGGGTACAATAATGTTATTTGTATTAATACTGAAAAATAATTTAATAACCTGAATTGGATACTATACTATAGCTTAAAAGAATAGTACTATGCCCTATATATTTTTTCTGATCAGTATATATCAATTTTTTGACTGGAATATTTTTCAGGACTGTTCAATATCAGGAGGTATGTTTAATGGAGGAAATCATGTGAACCAGTGGACTGCAGTTGGAGCTAATTACAGTCCATATGCACCAGCATCTTACGCAAATTTACTGGACAAGATATCAACCATCGACGAAGATCCTTACACCATTGACCAAGATCATTATGGGACAGACACACCAGAGATAGAGACCCTTCCTCTCTTCCCTATGCACAATGAAGAGCTTGATCACGATCACGACCACGACCACGACCACGGCTTCTACACCATTAAGCCTCCATCAGACGGGTATTACACCGGTGGATACCGATGGTCTAATGGTAGCGGTGGCAATACCTCCCTTGAGCTTAGCCTCAATTCCTACGGCTATGGTTATTATTCACCAAATATCTAATTAGTATTATGACTCTTAAGAAGTGTTATTGTACGTCATTGACTGTCTAATCTTAATTAGTTATTATTGTAAGTTTTAGTTAGTTAATTAGTTAGTCTGATGCTAACCATCATAGTCACTATATCATTGTCATATATTAGTAAGCTAAGAGTAGTTTAGCAAGGTAGTGGTCTTTAATTATGAGGGTGTACGTTTTCCTTGTAATGTTACCCTTTCAAACAAGACCCTAATATTCTTATAACTTATGATTAAGCGCGCTGTCGCGTAATTAGGATGTACTTAAATTTTTAATCATAATCCAAGTGAGTATATTATTTAGCTATGATCTTATGCTAATCTAATTTACTACCTCGCATATAATAATTATCGGAGTTAGTATGTTAATATACGGAGTAGTAAAAAAAAAAAAAAAGGACATTAGGAATAAGAGAGTGATGGGTCTGTGTATGTGAGTGTCTCTTTCTCTTGGTATCTGACTAAAACAGTGCAACAAGAAGTACACATGACCTGTTGTTAAGTCTGTTTCGGAACCTCAAAGCCTACACAACAAGACTAGCCCTACAAATCCTTTCTGCCTCAACAATCAAATAAATAAAACAAAAACAACTCCCTCACTGTCTAATTAATAACAAGATATATGAATATTTGTTGTTATATGTCTTCTTCATACAATAAATGCAATATAATAAACTAAAATTACACAATATACGAAGTATATTTTAATACAAGGAGATTCATTAGGTAATAGAGTATTTACCTTGCTGCTGTATGATAAAATATAACACTTTTTATTAAATTAATGTACTTAATTACTCATGATATTATTATATTTTGGCGTAATAAGTATATACATCTGGTTGTACAATAGAAATGTTTTAATACCAACCTTATTCTTGATGTTCTTGCTAAAGTTAGTTTAGCTAAATTTGTGCATATTTTTTCAGATGGATGGTGCAATTTATTCTGTGTTTTATCAATAGAATGTTAAGACACTCAACCTAATTTAATGCAACGGCTATTAAGGGTATGAAACCTTTTCGTGTTTTCTTTATGATGTTGTAAGGGAAGTCCAAATTTGTATACTAACATGTTAGAAAACAAAACATGATGTTTGGGGCACAAAATGTCAAAATTTGTAAACTTTGGGAACCTCGTGAATTTCGTTAAACTTCAGGAATACCTCATAAAATAATGTTTCTTATACTTAAGCTAGTTCTTCAAAAAATCACTCACAACTCACTAAGAACACGTGTAATGGTGATCAATGCCCCTTATAAGTAAATTGTTCTAAAAAAAATTGGTATTGAAAAATGGATTAATGCCCTAGAAATTGTAATCCTTTGATTTGGACGGCCGATAAAAGTGTTACGTACGTACAACTTAAAATTTTAAACACTTGATGTCATGTAACATGGAGAACAATACTAAGGAGTAAGAATCCATGTATCACAAAAACTAGGATGACATGTACTCACATACGTATAACAAAATATATTACTACGTAATACGAAGTAAGAAATTGGATGTTCATATGATCAATTTCGAATCCGGTAACACATAGCTAGGAGTTCCCCCTCTTCATTAAGATATAGTGACATAAGATATTCATCATCATAATAATTTAGGGAAGAAGCAATGCTCCCCGCAAGTCCCAACATGCATGTATAAAATTCCAAGTTTGTAGGGACTAGACGAGTAGGAAGATGAGGAACTCAGATATCATCTCGCTTGACATGATCAGACCAGCCAAAGCAGCATTCAAAAAATAAAAATAAAAAACTGCAAACACACTAAATTCATGCAGATAGATTCAAATCAAATCACCAAAAGCAGAACTACCAATACATGATGTTTGATTTAGCTCCACGTTGTGATTCATATGGCATTATGGCCAATCATTTATTTTTGTATGTTATTTAAATTTGTTCAGGGAAAAGTTAAGCTTATTAAAATGAAATACCTTAATTTAAAAGGGACCATGTTTATATTGAGGAAAAAGTTTAGCTTATTAACATGAAAAAACACCTTAATTTAAAAGGGGCCATATTCTTGCTTACATCTAACCCTTTAACACAAATATTAAGATTTAACATTTCTTAATACAGTGGTACCTTATGAGTCCATCAATTTTTGGATCTAATAAGAGGTGGGTAGCTTTCATTATTTTTAATTAAACTTTTAAAAACAGATCACATTGGGAATTGGGAGATAGGGAGTTGTTGATGATTTTGGAACAGAATAATCTATCCTTAAGGATGTAAATCAACATTAATCACACGTGCATGCATACACATACTAATGTAAACATGTCACCAATATCCAGATCTTAAGATGCGTATTATTCATTTAACTTTCACTTATCTAAATACTTTGTATAATTAAAAAGAATATTTTTTTCCATGCTAAACTTATTTTAACTTCTTAGAGCTACTTTAATTGTTATTATTGAACTTGAACAATTTTTTTTTTCCCCTTTAAACTTAACTTCTCATAATTTATTTTTCGTTATCTTCTCTGCAGTTACCTTTCCTTGATTGAACAAACATAACAAAGCCTAACTTTATCTTTGAACTATAACAATATTTTTTAAAAGTTTTAGCATACACCTATACTAATTTTTTACAGGTAAGAAAAAGAGGACATTAGAAAACCCGCCACATGAGCTGAGTGATCACCTAAGTACCTAACATATTTTAATTAAGAGAATGACCCAAACTAGATCTCAACCACCACAATTTTTTAATTTGCGGGTAAGATACTTTGAAATAGGGGATGAGATAAGGGGATTCGTTTTACCTCCAAATATTCTCACTTGGTGAGATTCAAGTCATTCAACCCCCACATCTCAGGATTATATACCTTACATGCTACAGATAAGGGGATTCGTTTTACCTCCAAGTATTCTCACTTGATGATCCCTCAGCTAATGTGGCGAATTATATACCTTATACACACAGAAATATAATAACAAGATAAGATAATGATATGTGCACGTGGAATAGAGACTACAGACTAGAGATGAAAGACAGCACCCCACAAAAAGGTGAATTGGTGGGAAGTGAACCCTAGCTACTTATACAATTAGATTCATAGTGTGAATTATTTGTAAATGGAATTATTATCATACTCCCCATTTATTTTTTTTATTTTGTGGGTATCAAAGTGGGTACAATTTGATATGATATTTGCCTGCACATTTACAAAATCTCAGTCCTACTTGTCCTAATAATTCTTTCAAAAAGGAGAGAGAAAGAGAAAGAAAGAACCTCGAGAAATTCCCCTCCAATGATGAAAAGGAAGAACACATACTACTACAAACATTATTTCAGCCGTTATTCATTAGATAAAAAGGTAACTAAATTTGTGGGTTTTGAAGTTTGTGAATTAAACCTTTTTTTCTCTTAGAAATTGCCGCATATTATTAGTCTGTCTGTCTGTCCCATCAATTTTTTTACCATTCCAACTGCTAGAGATTTTCCCTATCCACTAAAGTATCCTCGAATTTCTTAGCTACAATTATTATTACTACGTATTATTAGCCAGCCCCATATCAAAATTCTCTGTACTTCTAAAGTTACTTAACAGTGAATTTTACCTATTGGTGTTGAGCCACTTAACTTACTAATTCTATGGATCAAAAGAACCCCACAACTCTGTTACAATTTACAAGACAATTGTAGTAAAATGAAGTATAAGGGTACTATTACAAGGCACCCCTCAACACGCCCGTGCTTAAAAAGAAGCACATCACATTAAAGACTTTTACGGAAATACTCAACTTGTTAAATGACTAACAAAATTTTCCTATTTTCAGATTCTAGTATCAAAATCTTTACAATATTTGATTTTAGGTCTACCTTGAATAAGGTTATACTTCTTCAGATATTTGTTTGCGAAATATCCACTACTTTAGACCGTAGTGAATGAAATCTATCATATTGTCGTTATATTTGTCACCACCATTACGACCACCACACCAACCACTTTTCAACACGTACTCGGCTGTTTGTTTTCGAGTCTAGGAAGGTAAATACACATACATCCCAAACCAAATCATTCAAGCTCAATTACGCATACAAATAAAAAAAAAAAGGATTATTCAACAAACCCAAAACTCTTCAACACAATTACGTACTTCCAATAGTGAAAGCAAATGGGGTCACCATATAAGATGATGATGATGATGATGGTGGGGTCCCAATCAAGAAGATTTTGGATGGATGCCTTTCCTTGATTTGGTTTGACAAAAATTCCAGCTTTTGTTACAAGGAGTGACCCCTAATGTCTTTTAGGGCACTTACTGTTAGAGAGAGAGGAGAGAGAAAGAAGAGAGAGAAAGAGAGAATAAGGGTAACTAAAAAGACAATAATCCCCTTAGTAGGGGAATTTAGTTGTAGATCCAAAGGAAATCTTGGCTACTTTTTCAGAGGGTAAGTACGTAATGTCCTTAAACTAGCAAAATGAAGCGTGACATGCATCACGCCTTTTTTCATGAAAGCTTTGCTTCCATAAGCTTACTACTGCAACTTGTATATTTGCCTATTTTAGGGTTTCACTTTGTAATTTTTGCATGGTTGGTTTTCTGAATTCACCCTTCTCAAGTTTTATGTACTAAATATAACCCCCCTCAAAATGCACACAACCATCATTATGTAAGTTGTACATGGTACATACTCTGTTGTGTGCATTACATAAGTTTCTTTTGTACTTTCAGACTATGTGCATGTACATCAGGACTATGTAACGTAAGGTTTCCCATACTATTCGTTTTGCCCGAGCTGCGCCTTGCTCTTCTTTCTTTATGTGAATGGCTTTCCTCTTTTAAGAGGTTCCTTGAAAATCAGGGATGGAGGAGGGTACATGTACACCACCTTTATGTTCTAAGGTTGTGGTGCAGAGTTCGGTTTTAACTAAGGTGTTGGAAAGATGAAGAGGGAATTGGGTTCTTGGGCTTAAACTGATAGGGTTCTTGGCCATGCCTGCTTCACTACCTACCCAAAAAAAAAATAAAAAAATTAGTGGTGGCACGTTCTATAGATTGGAGGCCAGCAACTTGAATGATGGCCATGTACATGTCAAATAATCTATGTCCATATTATTCGGGGCGGACCACCCATAATGAGCTATATCTCTACCTATCCTTGAAGAATAAAACAAGACCAAAACAGAACTCCTAGATGAGAACTAACATTTTGTGGATACAAGTTCAAAGTTCCATACTAAAAGTCTACAAGTGCCAATTTGTGAATATGGATTGTGATTTTTACTGTAAGTGAAATTAAGCAAGGGAATGCACGTGCAAATTTATCAAGTTACAACACCTCCAAACAGTCAATATAAGGTACAAGTTATACACAATGTTACAGAAAGCTCCAATGCGTGGGAGATTATAAAGTACATATAAATATTACATTTTAGGGGTGAAAATTAATGAGCTAAATCATAAATATATAGTTCATCAAAGAAGTGTAAATTTATAATGTTACATAGAACTCTTCGACAAATAAGATTATGATACAGAGTTCTCGACGTTAGTACCTGGATGAATGACCATTTTTTCCTGCAGTAACATGAGTTCAGCAGCATGCAGCCAAAGTATCACCACTTCTCCTCAAGAAGGTTCAAATCCATAATAACTCTGACTTGTCTTATTCATGAGCCATGAACATAAGTTGTTGAAGCAGACTCACTACAAGGAAAGATTCCATCATAAATCGTGAATTCGTGATTAATGGTGCAAGCTGCATTTCTAGTTGACTAGACAAGCTGCATTTCTAATAAGCATAAATCCTTAACTTTGACCATTTGATGGATAGTCTCATGGCTATTTTCTTTCCGCATTAATTCCTCCATGGTTAGTCTCATTGCTATTTTCTTCCCGCGTAAGTTCCCAGTTTAGACAAATCAGGAACCCAAAAAGATAGCTCAGAGGATCCAGTGGCAAACATGACGTTTCCTGGTGCCCATTTTATTACAGGAGGTTCTTTTTCGGTACTCATCCAACTTGCCACCTACAGAGAAATTATTCATAAAACATTGTTAATCACAACTTCTGATGAACAGGGAGATGATATGAGAAATCAAGTGTTTAGCTTGCATGTACGACTTGGGAAACTAAAATATAATGGACAACTAACCAGTAGGATCCTAATGTTTAGCTTGCATATAAAATTTAATACTATAAACAAGTGACCAGTAGGATCTAACACCTTGATCACTACATGGTAGGCTTCAGCAAAGTTCATGGAATTGTTACATGAACACTTGTCCGATGCCACAAAAGGGTACAGAACAAATCAATTCACACCAAGCACCAATCAATCACCCCCCTTCCCTGTTTTTAACAAGAAGGGAAATTGAGGTAAGAATTGAACAGTTTGAGCAAGGTGTAACAGAAATCTAATGCTGTTGACAACTGCTGAAGATTTTCAATTTCTCTAAAGTTGCTTCAACACATATTCTGAACAAAATAAAACAGAAACATCAAGTTCGGGCATGATGGAAATTTTACACTGTACATTTTTTTCCTTCCTCTTATATACAATGCACAATGCTAAATGCAAGGGTGGGCTACATCCAAAGGTAGTGATATTTTGATTTCCAACATAAATCAAGGGAAAAAGATCCAAGATCTTCCAGGACTGCATACTATATATACTTCTTAAGATAAAGCCTTGATAGATGTCCTTCCACAATGACTGCTGCCAAATCAACAGTTCCCCACCACCTAATTACTAGCTCATGCAAGTTTAGGTATCCAAATACAAGGGATTCTAAAAATTCAAAATGCCAAGGAAAAACAAAGAAGCCAAGCAGCCAGTGTGAAAACTTTTCCTCAAATTTTATCATCCAGAAATATAAGATAGTACCTTCAATCAGGTAAGAAAATCAAAACAAGAACCATTTAATACTCCATACCTCTTTGCCACTGCGGACACTCCATGCATATACACTGCCATCCCCTGAACCTGCAGAAGAAAGTGGAATAAACCAAATTGGAAATTACTCAAAAGCAGAGAAGCATAAACAAACTGAACAAAGGCTCAATCCTTTCCAAATGGATAGCAGCATGTACTACAGCTATAACACATCAAAAGTAAGTAAGCAAACAAAAGGCCAGTAAGGATCCCACTAATGGCAGGCAGGACTAGGGACTAAAATCATAGGTATGAAACACAAGTTACACAACTTTGTGCACAACCACTCATAACATCAATTCATCCAGAACTGTGGATTCATTGAGCTTGTAAAATTTGTCCAACTTTCTCACTCCTATACAATCACATTGACAATGTACCTCCTACCAAGAAAATTGCTCCCTCCATTTGAGTGCTTTGGGAGTCTGGGAGGGACTTGAGGGAGTGGTGAGATAGAGAGAGAAACCAAGAAACATTAAAGTATAACAATCTAAGAGTCAATTTAAGTTTGATTTATTCTCGATGTAAACAGTTCAGTTGCCAAGGCATGCACATTTGGAACAAGGAATAACAAAGTGTTTCCAAGGCATGGACATTCCAAGAAAGTGATGCGATGATCACAAAAGCTATCTTGTTTTAAATTTACTTAGAAAGAATATCAAATGATGCAAGGAAACAGAGGTACACATACACTCAGCAAAACAGGGAAACAAATTAAACTTATGAAAGCTTGGCTAAATGATTGTTTGACTATCCAACATAACTAGTTGGTAACACATGATTGAAAGAATGTTCAAGATGACAGACAAAAGATATGTAGCCATAGTCGTAAAAGGATTAGGGGAAGGAATTTACAGCCATAACAGGTATGCAAATTTTCAAAGACGGTATCAATAGGGGGATTATGCTAACAAGAGTGAACCAACCCATGTACAATATGCAATAACAGGACATACTAAAAGTAGAGCTCAGAAAATTGTAAGAAAGGAAAAAAAAAAAAAAAAACATGGTAAATCAAAGAAAAAAGCATAATTGAAAAAAGCAACATGCAGAAGAAGCTAGCAAATAAATAAAAGTTGGAAAAAAAATATATAGACTAGGGTAAATTGATGGCCAAGTCCAGGCCCAGAGCATTTGAAAGATTATCAAAGACTGGAAGCCCAGAATGGGACAAAAGTCTAAGTTAGCACAGACTAGGGGGAGGGGAAAGCAAGGACTTGCAGTGTTAAACCGCCTGAAGTATATAAAGAATGAAGGCTTCTGAGCAAGTGCTTGCCAATTATGCAACATCAAAGCTAGGTGAAGCCTGTAAAGAGTACTTTGACAGCCCTCTCAACAGATTGAAGAATAACGCACTTGTTTGGGAAAGGTCAGCTCCTCTATTCTTAGATAAACATCGCTTTTGGTTAGGGCATTAATATGGAGGAAGTTAAGAGTACCAATCAAAAAGGACAAGAATGGGAAAACATTTGACCTGGATTAGGGATACCAAAGTACTTTGGATAAGTTTACATGCTAAAACAGTGCCAAATGTCTATATCAGATGGTCAAAAGTATGTAGAAAGGCATGATGGTTAGTAAAATAGGATACCAAGAATTCCCCAGTATATGCTGAGTTGCGTCATTGTCTACTTTGAGTTCATTTCTATTTCAGCATTAATGGATAAACTTACTAGCTCAATTTAAGGCCCAAGGTTTTCTACCATGATGTATAATTTTAACAGATGACATCTATGGTCGACAAGCAAAGACAAGGAATATTAGGGCCTTGATGCTTTGGTATCAAAGGGGTTTAGATAAGCAAAATTCAGACAAACTTAAAATATAAATTTAGGGGCCATTTGGATCAAAAATCATATTTGGAATCAGAATGAAATCAATTCAGGAATGGTAATGACCTTCATCACCCACATTCTCAACCTCGCCACTTTATCCATCTTAGCCCTCTCCCTCGTGTGTGATTGACACCTTGGAGCTGAAGCATAATAATTAATCAAGAAACTGTGACACAATATCTAGATGCAGAGGCAATTGATAGCCATGGCCCATGGGAGTATGGGACACATTTGGTGGGTCAAAGATGATGATCTCATGGAAAGGCTGGATCCATTAGTCATATGGAGCAGCAAAGTGACCCTAACCCTACCCACAACACGCTCACAATCTACATCTTAAAAAAGAAAATCAAAAGGCTAACCCTCTCTCTTACAGTCATATGGGTGGCTTGACAAGCTTCAAAGAAGTTTATACCCCACACAGACACGTGCACATAATTCCACAAAAAAGAGGGTTCCCGATAATAAATCGAAGGGCCAATCACAAGAGTAAAGGGGGTTAGTTAAAATAGCCAATCAAGCCATCCTAGGAACTAAAAGAGAAAAGAACTTTGTGTATTACCTGATATGACAAACATTCCCTCGGGGCTAAATGAGGCCTCCAAAGTCGAGCTGGTAGATACTGGTTTTACATTAAATGAGCATAACTGGATATAACATCAAAAGAAACAGGAAAAAAAGTTAGGAAAAAAAAAAGATTTTCAGAGTAACACCCTATAATTTACATTATAATCATACTCAATTGAGAAGGTAATAAAAACTGGGTTAAGATTTAATCTTGGTTTCTGTTTAGAGGACAACTTGTCCTAAATGTTTGATTTTTTTATTGCAGCTGATTAATAGACATATTTATATATTTTTATTTTACTTATAAAACAACAATTGGGGGTTAAGGAACTTACAAGGGTACCACGGAATGAATCAAGCACATGAATAAATCCATTGGTTGTTGTTAAAAGCATAAGTCTCCCGTCATTGCTGAATTTGACTACATTGGCATCAGAGAAGTCTCCCCCAACAGAATATATTTCAAAAGGGCCCTGAATAACAAGAAATCAGCCATCAAACACAACTTCTAAGGAACCCACATCTTCTTAGATAAGCAAATCAAGGACATGAAGCACAAACCTTTTCATATTTGCGAGTGTCAAACAATCTTATATATCCTCCAGAAGCAATCGAAAAGACTAATCCTTGATCGTCATAAGCTGTTGCAGGCCTTCCCTGGACACGTAGAAGACCCTGAAATAAAATAAAAAAGAAAATAATCCTTTAGTTATCATTCACCAGATAAGCACGGGAAACAATACCTAATTTAGACAAGAGCCAGAAAGGCAACAATCCTACCTGACATTTTTCAGCCCGTTGGTCCCAGAGCAGAACAGTCCGGTCCAGAGAACCTGATATAAAGAATTCATTGCGAGCACACAAGCTTAGGGATACGACCCTGAAAGGAGTATTGTCAGGCAACATGAAGCATGAAAAGTAAAATAGTCACATATATGGATGACCCAAGGAACTATACCTATCATGATGACCTTTGAAATATCGCAAATATTTGTTGTCGTTCAAGGAGAGAAGCCGCAGTGACTCTGCAGACAAATTATACCTGATTATAAATCTTAAATATATACATTTACCGATTTACCGTTTACGTGATCTAGAGTCAAGTTAAATTACCATCCCAGCCATTCTTTGACGAGTAGATCACTGTTGTAGGATGAGAAGTAAAGCACACAAGTTCAACTCCATACTTCTTGCTATTGATGGTTTTCAAACATCTGAAAACAAAAGCAAAGTTTTTAAAAATCTCTGTATATCACAATGAAATAGCTAGTTTATGCATGATAACAGCAAAATGTAAACAAAAAGTTCCAGATAAGTAAGAAAATTGCAGGATGATTTAAAAACTAAACATAAACAATTGCCTAATTCAATCAGCCACCACTCTTCTCTCTTGCAATGAAGTTATAAAGCTTAATTCAAAAAATTCACAAGTAATGACAGGCCATGATGTAGAAGCCAAACTGTATCATTGTAGAAACTATTAGGAGGTATGTTTGGAATGAATTCACTATTTGTTTCTCTTTTTGGTAGGTTCTTTCTGGATACTTTTCCCTTAAGGAACCAACTATACAAAGCGTTCGGAAGCACCAGATAATCCTTTGTTATCCTTTCGCCTTCTATCAAGTAAATGAGGTTGTTATTTGCTGTGTTTTATTAGCAGAGATTACTTCAAAGTTCCAGATAATTACAAAGCACTGCTGGATGATTAGGAAACTAAACATAGAATGTTGCTTAATCTTCACTCTCGAAATAAAGTCAGTCTACTCTAAATCCATGTGAAAACTGTCCAATGCTATCAAATGCAGTCATGCTCATAATTAAAGGCATGTTTGGAATATGTTGATCTCTATGGAAGTTGCTACATCACACAATTTTGAAAGTTTAAAAGATCATTAATGATCCAACCCGATTTTCACAAGTCGAAATCATTGTGGAAATCCATCTAAATCCTTACATTTTGGGGTTTGGGATAAAGCAACAATTATATCCTAAAAGATGGAGTGTTTTTAATATTAAATATAAACAACAGAAAGAGATACTTAGAGTCAATGTAATGCAGAACAAATAGGAAATGATAATTGTAAACCCTAAAAGAAGTTACATCCTTATTTGGCAAGCATAGATTGCGCATGTAAAATACTTCGTATTTCAGAAGCAAAACACCTACGTGGCATTGGCGACATCATACAAGCGGATCGATTCATCATCACTAGCAGTGACCAAGTAACTTGAGGTCCTATGGAAGTCCATTGAACTGATTCTTCCACTCTGCAACAGCAACAACCACTACAATTATTAAAATCTCTCCATAGATTAACCATTGCCAACTACCGAGCACTCAAATACGCTAGAATTAGCAGAAACTACGAAAGACGATCTTATACACAGACAAACAGCAATAATCCTTGCTCAACAGTGTTTGCATGACTGGTATACATATTAATTACAACAATAATCTCATAAATTACAGTTCCTCAATTGCAACAACAAATAATTCAAAATTCTTCAAATTCGCCAATCCATACAACTAAATCGTCATAACACAATTTCTTAAAAATTTAATCGGAGTGAAAGAGAAACATTACATAATCGCGAAACGCCATGCCGACTTCCATGCTCTGAAGAGTTTCTTCCGTCAAATCCAACGACACTTTATCTTCTGCAAATAATATCAAAATTGCAGCAATTTAAACAAAAAATGATAATTTAATCGCAAAAACAAAAATCAAAATTCAAAGAGGACGAAGCGAATATTAATTGAAATTGAAAATAAAAATTAGGGATTAAGAAGAAATACCAGCCATATTTTGGGGAATCAGAGAATTCGGTGAAGAAGATGAATGCTGAGGGTTTTAATTGAGAATCCAGCAAAACCCTAATCAAAGTCGTCAACTAAATTTGGGGGTTAAGCTACAGTTATAAGATTTGTGTGCATGTTGGCGGGAGCTCGGCGTCCGACCCGAACATTAGTATTTGCGTTTGTCGCGCTCTCTCTCTTGTATTTCTGCTCATGTTGTTGGAGTGAATTATAGTGATTTCCATGGAAATTGCTAGAATAAACCAAAATACTATGCTACTTTCTACGAGTATCAAAATTCCCTACCTAATGTCCACCTCAACTCATTTAAAAATTACTATAATTTTTTTTAACCGGTTCAGTACAAAAACCGTTAATTAAATTAGCGGTTGCCACTGCTGGGAGGCGGCGCCAAGGGGCAGTGCAGAATGCCCATTCACGACAGGTGAGGAGTAGAGCTTCTATTTTAAGTGTCGATTTTTTTGGGGGAATATTGATCAAATGGCTGGAGTAAGAAATGGTGAAGACATAATTCAATTAGCGGTTTTGTATTGAATGAGTAACAAAAATTAATTTTAAATAAGCTGACGTGCACGGTATGTTGGTATGTATGGATTTTGATATAAAGTAGCGTAATTGTAAAATTTTGTTTTGTTTTAACAATTTTCATGGAAATCACTCAACACTATTACACACGACTCGATAATGAATTTGTTACACAATTTTTTATTTTTGATAAGACGGGTGACTTCATTAAATAATAATCCCTCCGTTATTTGGTAAGGACCCACTAGCATCCTAGAAACAGAGAAAACACATAGCCACTTGTCAAGAAGGAAAAGGAAAAAAAAAAAAAAAAAAAACATAGCCTGAAGATTTGATAGCAGCAGATGTTTTCTCCACAAACTGAAGAACAAATTAAGTAAATCAGAAGGGGGAACCAGAAAGGCAAAAAGCACACTTTTTAGGAGAAAGATTTAGTATAAACTCTAGAGTAATAATGAACAGCTTCTATAAACTCTAGAGTATCACCAGATGATCCAAGACGGGAACTAGTACATTAATTTGTACGAATATACAGCTTAAATTGCATTTTGACATGAGCAGGCGCATAGTCTTTTTTTGAGCCACTTGATACAGTGATGCACCAAATGCAATTACTTTCCTTGTCCCCTGCAAAATAAAACGTCCGAGACTTCGAGAGTAAGTGCAATAATTTCTACTACATAGTAGTAATCTAGTATGACTGTAAGAATCATAGACAGATAGACCAAAGCTGAGTGCCTAATGGCTAATACTCCCTCCATCCTACAGCTAAACATACCTTTTCTGATAGTCCCAATGCCAATATAAGAGAGAATATTTGGTGTGGTTTTTCTCTCAACTTTTTCATTAACATTGGAACCCACAACCACCCACCAACTTTATTTTTCTCAGTTCCCCCTCCCACCCTCCATCCCACATTTACTCTGGGACGAAGAACATACATTATTTACGTTACAGCATTCAATCACAACTGAGTTATACTCATTTGCAGTACCACAGAAATTCTCCCTTTTATCAAAGGAAAAAAAAAATGTCTTTGCCTTATTATCATTTTTTACTATAACCCCTGTTATGCTTAGCCATAACCTGGAAGATACAACTAGACATATATACTACTCTCAGAAGAACCAGATATGAGGGATTAGCCCTGTGATGTTCTAAATTTCAGCATGTAAATTCCTATAGCAACTAACTGAGTTGGGTGAATCTACAAAGCACAAAAGTAATTACCTTAACCCAATAAAGTTATACAATCTCAAGGCAGCCACATCAGGTTCATCCACAATTCATGGAAAGACAATAGCTGCACCCGGAACTCTGGATAACAAAAAGTGAAAAATGGCAAATGGGGAAAAACGAAATACCCTCATAACCAAATAGTTGTCAGCCTTGTGGTGTGCCCCCAGAAAAGGGGAAAAAATGCCAGTCCTAAGCAGTTTTCCTATTTTGGGCCAATGTAGTTCCTGTATCTGAACCCAAAAGGAAAGACTAGTGAATAATAATATTCTATTCACGCCAACTGAATGCAATACCTGAAGGCTTGTTTACAAAATGAGTTGGTATGGTATATTTGAATGTGTGAATTAACAGTCGAATCACTGGATACATAAGAAGGAAAGGGCAAATGTCCTCTCCTTCCCTAATGGTCAAATATAAAGAACAGGAAATTCTCCTCTCTGACAAACACCATTCTGATGATTTTTTTCATTAAAAAAAAGGCAGATTCATACAAGGAAAACAGGAAAAGAAACCTGGAATGATTATGAAGTTGTCATCATCCTTGCACTGCCAATTCTTGTAAGTGATCCATGAAAACTTGCAAACTCACATCATCTGTGAATATGATTTCTGAGCCGTCAGCATACATTGAATTATGGGTAACAGAAGGATTCAACTTGGCGAGAAGAAACCTAGCCTGACTACTGTGCTGGTCACATCTGATGACTTTAGGAACTGGCATCCGTTCGGCTATAAGTTGATCTACATCCAGTTCAGGTGCTTCCAACAACTTTCTGAAAGTCTCATGATTAGGGTCCTTGTGATAACCAAGCTTTCGCCACTGTGCAACCTTCGAGCCATAGTGAATGACAACATAGAAGTATGAATCAAAAAGCAAAATCACATCAGGAGACACTGAGCAAATATCTAAGAGGACCGGAATAGGTGGCCCCTCAAATGAATATTGGAAAAGCGTTGGTTGAATCATGATCATAGAACCAACCACTCCTTCACGATTCAACATCAATGTAAAGAAAGCTGTCTCATCTGGAGAGCTGTTAAATACATTGATAAACTGGGATCTTCTTAGATAATACATAAATTGAGGATACAGAGAGAAGTTCGATGAAAGGCGAAATGAAGACGGGTCTTCTTGAATGTAGTCTCCAAATTGGGAAGCAAATCTTATTAAATTATCATCCAGCCACCTGATGACATCTCTAACAAAATGCCTCTCTGCTCTGTCAATTGCAAGCCTGCCCATGACAGCGGCTGCAGCTTCTTGATCGAATCCAGCAGAAATCTCCGGTGAATTCTTCCCCACCCACCTTCTTGCTACGGTTGTCACCCTTCTCCGGATCCCAGTTGCTCCATATCGGTAACGGGTAATAAACTGAATAAAAAATGCAGAGCCAGGTTCAACTTTCTGACTGTCATTAACTTCAAAGAAAAACGCAATGCATGTCTTGTTTGTCAGAGAGCACAACTTCCATGCATTAGTAGAAGCTTCCCCAATCTCATTGTCACTCACTAGACTATTCCTCTTCCGGAGAGACACACATGGACCTAGGGCACCACAAATCTTTACATCATTAGTTGTCACCACTTCAATAGATGCATCAAAACACATCTTCAGGTTCCCATTGTTGTCACATTTAAATAGGTGATGTAAACATTTTTTAAAATGATCTGAGTCAAATACTTCTCCAAGCATCATAAATCCACCTGACCTTTCAACTGGGGCTTTTAACTCTGCTGCTCCCACTTGATCCAAAGAACAAGCAAACAAATCAAGAACTACGGAAGCATCACATAATCGCTGAGTGATTTTCTTATAAAAACTGCAAGACATTTCGAAAAAGGGCGCATGACCATTTATCAGCTCTCGGTGATTTCTTATTGAATAGCTACAATCAGACTCCACCACAATGCCAGGGCCAACAGTTGCAGGCCCAGATGTAAAGACCATAACCCTGGAACCTGTTCTCACTGTACATCCTTCTATAAGTCCAACTGCCACAGATATTGCAGTTCCAGTGGCCCTCAGAGAGCGATGACCACGAGCAACAATTCCTGAAGAGCATATCTCTTCAATTGCTGTTGTGACAATAAATTCACATTCTGACACTGGTAACAGAAAGCCTTGCTTTTGGACAACTGTGGTCTTCCCAAGGTAAGGTTGTTTCATGGTTGGAAATTGAAGAAGTTGTTGAATCTGAGGGAAGTACATAACATAAGAAATAATCTTAGAAATGTAATTATTAAATAGCTCATTCTGCTTTCACCAACACGAATTCAGATGGAAGGAACATAATACAACTTTCATTTGTCGCCATTTTCCCATAGGCCACTGGACTACCAGATTCTGAAGCTTAAATAATAAATAATTGAACATAAGCAGTAGATTCTACATTATCCATCATCAAGTATTCAGGTGACCTGAAAGACACACAAAGGCCATTTTTACACTGCTACACTCCTAGACAAGGAAGTTATAGCATATTCTCTTAAGTCTTAACTATGCAAAAGCTTGTAGGGTTTTGATGAAACTATTTTGTGGAAACAACAAAATGATGAATGGATCTCATACACATATTGATAAAGGATCAAAATCATAAAAAATGATATCCTCTTGATGCATTCTTATTGTCACTTCAATTAAGAACAAATATGAATAATCCAAGTTTAGCCTCTCCCTCTCCCTCTCTCTCTCAACATGTTGTATTATTCTCAATGTATATTTAAAAAAATGGATTTTTTAATAATTTTTGTTAATCGATAATTAAATATATTGATCTAATCTAATTTTCAAGGCACACACGAAAAGGTATATCATTGTTTATGATTGAGATTCATTATTAATACATGCATGAGATCCCTGAAACAACCCCACAAGAGTTGTTCCAAAACCCTACAGAGCCACATTCTACTCACCATTCTCTATAAACACTCTAAAAGTAGGAACTTCGATCCTTTTTAACATAGTCAAAAGTATTCATATTGAGCAAAATTTCCAGATTTTTATTACAGTGGAATAGATCAAATTTCCAGAAGTGTCCTGCAATTATTCCTGGAGGAGATGTACGTCAAGATATCAAATGAGGCCATTACCACTATAATCAAGGACACCTCTTTGCAGCTGCAAGGGAAGCCTTTAAACCCTAACCCCATCTTGCAAAAGATGGAACCTTGATAGAGGTCATCACCGATGTGGTATGGATTCTTCAAACTCTTGTATTAATCATAATGGTTTTTGTGTAATATTTGGCACAGAACATCACATATATATGTCCAAAGTAGTTCATCTCCTTTATAAACATGTGGTTTTCTTCTTTACATTTGTATAACACTCACTACCACTTCAAGGAAATGTATGAAAGAAAGTACAGGTCTGTAGGTAGAGATACATTGCAGTTGACATTCACATGAGATACGCCATACCAGACTTTACACAAACACCTACCATTCTCTTAATTTATAACCTCATACCAAATAAGCCATACGAGTAAAGTGCACAGCTATTAAAGCTTTCCCAATTGTAAACTACAGTTTCCAAATCCAATTCATTATGTATAAAAATGGCTATTTGGCAGCAGACCTATTGACAATGTCATACAAGTGATACAACCATATTCAACTTATTCAGAAGCCATCCAGGAGATTAACATTTTAGTAAAACTTTAGCCATGATCTTTTAGGTACATCATTGAAGAAAAAAAGTCCAGGCATCACTCTAGACCAATAAAAGGAAAACAAAACAAAATTCCAAGTCGCGGACTTTCATGGTTTCACCATGATCCAATAAGCAAGTAATTCACATAATTAACTTATATAGAACAATTAATTAGTTTCCCAATCAAAGCTAAACTTGGCAACAAATCAGAGTGAATGATAATTCAGTGAAATTTGAAGCAACAAATTAAAATAAAGTTACCTGAGTTGAGGTGAGATCCCTGCTACCTTGTAAGAGCACAACCCTATTACAATCAGCAAACCCCAAATCATGAACTCTAACCATTGAATCAAAAGTAACCAATCCCACCAATGTATTCTCCGGCAATAAAGAGATCACATACAACAACTCCTTCTTAAGCGCCCTAAGCTCATCCTCCGGCGTACAAAGATCCACCACAAACACAAAAGCCGGCCCGGGTTTCGAATCAACCGCCCCGGCCAACATCGACGGAATCGAGCTAGATGAAGAGGAAGAAGACAACCCATTTCCACCCCCTAAATTACTAAACTGATACTGATATTCAACCGCACTATAAGTAGGAAAAAGTTCAGCAGGAAGATTGTTTTCACCAATCCCAGCATACGATTTAGGAAACCCATTTTTATGATGACAAAAAGGGCAATGCCAAATCTTTGATTGATAATCAACCCGAGCATAAGGGTTCAAAATTGCCCCACATTTGATACAAATCAAGGGTTCATATTCCAATACAGGAAGCTCAGAAGACTCCATTAAAGCTAATGGTGTACACATTATTGAAAGTGGGATTACCAGAGAAGTTGCCTCGGATTTCGAAGTCGGCCATGAATTCCACGACCATCGTAAACCTTCAATTCCTTCTAATTCTAGGAAATCCATTGATTTTTTTTTTCCCCTACTTTTGTTTTTGTTTTTACTTTATTGGGGTTTCGCGAATTGGGAAATCAATTTTGGGTGGTGGTGAGAGTGATTTCCAAGACCTCCAGTTTGAATGAATTGAGGTTGTCGTCGTTGAGTATGCCGCCGGCATCGGTGGAGGGAGGAGAGAGAAAGTGGGAATTTCGTCGGAGAATGGCCGGCGATAATGGGTGGATTTGACTGAGAGCAGAGCAGAGCGCCAGTGCGGAATCTGCGGATGCGTAGGTGAGCAATTTTGGAAATAAGAGTGCCCCGCAAGTCCGCAAATTCTATATGGAGTATTAAGTTTGTATACTGTGATTTTCAGAGTTGATTAATGTTTTTTTTTTTTTAATCTAATGGCAAATTCGTAAATAAAAAGAAATAATAATAATAAAAATAAAAATAAATGAAATTATACACCATACACGATTACACATAACACATCAGATTTGTATTGTTCATGTTTAACGCATTGTTGGATTAATGTGCTAAGCGCCTGAGATGAACATTTCACTGACACACCATTGAAGCTTCCTCCGCCATTGCATCTTTCTCCTTCTTCCCTCCCTGATCTCAACTCGCCTTCCACCGATATTTCCACCAACAACTCCACCATCTTCGATGACTTTGCCGCCAAATTAAACAAAAACCTTTATGAAAAGGATGAAATTCTGGTCATGGTGTAACACCCCAATAATTCTCCCTTTGACCTAGAAAATACTTATAAATAAAATATAAGAGAATTATTGACGTGTCACCGCCACGTGTTCAAACGTTAAGCCCTTGTATCAGAATTTGCAGTGGGAAACCAAATCGTTTCAAACAAACTTCAAACCAACAAAACCAAATAAGTTTTACGGTTGGAACCATTTGAGGCCCATATTCAAAACCCAAACACTATTTGATTCATCCAAATTCAAACCAAAGAAAGTTTAGTAAAGTATTGTTTGCTTAAGAAAAATAAACTATTGCAAAGGTGTGTCAACACTCCACTCAATCCCGTTATATCAATGATGTCTTCAACCATGCAATACCTATGAAAAGTCTACTCCCCAATATTACAAAGTGTAAAAATTGGATCGTCATAGGTTCATTGAAAGGCGAAGGTCATGACCAAAGAATTACACACATAAAGTACGTAATTAGCAAAGCTGAGTACATACAAACTACGGAAATAAACAAACACAAAGATCCTAGCATGCTACTAATCACATATATATCCAACTTATTTCTTATTCAACTAGTAGGCACAAACTTCCTATATTAACACAAGACTCATATGTTTCAACTCGACTCTTGATTCGTTTAATTAGTAAATTCCTTGGATTAAGCAATAGACAAGGTTATCTTCCCCATGTTCCTAATAAGGAATATCATAAAATAATAAATAAAATCCCCATGCTTCCTCGTCAGAAAGCATCAAAACAATAATAATAATCCAGATGGTAAACGGGCACGACACCGTCACCATAGTTAGATGAGATCTCAACTAACCTCAATTTAGTTTAAAAACCTTGTAAATAAAAGAGACTCGTAGATCACACGGCCTCTAGAAAGGCCACGGATAATACCCCATGAAATCCCAACCCATGATTGTCAATACTCTAGACGTGCACAATCTAGAGTTTTATTGCTTATCCATCTTTCACTTTATGTGATTTACAAGTTTAATTAATTCCAACTCATCAAACAACATCACAATACACAATAGTTTACAATCAATCCACTTTTATCTTAGTTATTTAAGTGTGATCACCAAACATTCATTTAACTCAGTAATTCTTTATTTAGAAGGACAACCACCTGTTGAACAAAGTCAACGGACTAACCTCGTCGTATATGACTTTAACCAATCCCTTTACTCAATCATACTTCAAGTCATGAAAGAGTAATAATAAAATAACCTCGTGGAATAATTAAAAATTAATTCCACCTAAATCATCAATTTCAACTCCTTTAATCAATCATGCAATGCTTGATTATTTAGAGAACCAACATCTCCATAAATTAAGACATGCTTCTCAAACACAAACATATAAATTATTCAATTCATAACTAAACAATCCACAATCAAGTAGTCCCATATACATGATATTGGGTTCTTACAACTCCTTAAACATGCTCCTAAAGATCAAGGATTTTCGTAACTTGTACGTACCTTGAATAAACGGAGCGAGTGGCCACTTTATCACTTAAAATTCTCCTTCTACGAAATCTCCTCCTAAGCCAAGTAACCAAAAATTTAATCAATATACAAGCCACAAAATTACAGCAATACTAGAGGACTTTAAAAGCTTTGAAAAATCATTAAAACAACAATTTTAAGCCTCCCAAACACATGAGCTAATAGTTTAAGAGTAGAACTACGAGTTTAGATCGAAAATTCACCAAAATACACCTTTGAATATAGAATTCCAGCATGTTTAACTTACTTAAACAAGCTGAAATTTTACTTTAGCAACATAATTTGAAATTAACGGAATCCATACTTGTAATATAATTTAGTAAGCTTATTAAAACATGTAGAAACACTTTGGACCCTTATCTTGGACCTTATAACAAGAAAAAACATATTATAAAAATCTGGAAATGAGTGTATATAAATCATGAGTTTGAAATTTTGATAATTTAGAAATATAGTATAATAGTTGTAGTAGTATTCTACACATGAAAACCTTATAATCCTCCAAACAATCAACATAAAACCCAAATTTTGCAGAGTACATGTTTCGGGTAAAAACAATGGGGCCTTCGGCAGGCCCTTTTAAGGTGGAGAAGACTGATCTCGGTCTAAAGAACACTGGAGCCGAGGATTTCCTGCACAGCAAAGAACACGTAAAACTGGCCTCGGGGGCTATGCCGAGGAAGGCCCCTCCGATGTCGAAGTCAGTATTGTGTTTTAAAAGAGAGAGAATATGCTATGCAAGAGATTTTGTGCTTGAGGCTAATTGTGAATTAATGTTGTAAATGGAATAAGTTTGGCTTTTATACCTTTGCTTAATTGATGGATTTGGGCCCTTGAGATCAAATGGGCTTGCCATGGAGACTGGACCGTTGACTGACTTAGCATTTAGACTGGAGAGTTGAACCTTGCCATTGAGCTTTGCATTGAATCATTTGTGGACTAGGCCCAATAGGAAGTTATTTTGGACCCAAACAACTTGCCCCCCAGACCCGATTCGACTGAAAGACGGTTCGGGTTTGGACTTGCCAGATGGAGGGAAGCAAATGATTGAACTTTGGAACATGCAATTAAGGCGGTTAATGACGTTTTTTTTTTAACTGCCATTATGGAGAATAACTAAGGAAGGTAGAGGGTTTAGTGGATAATTTACTTGGCAACGTGTTTAATGGTTAGATTTAGGAAGAATTAGTGGGGTTTTTGGCATTTTGGAACTCTCGGAATTCTTGACTCCAGCGAGCATATTTAAGTTGCCCTCACCACTATTTTCCGGCTAATTTCGCAAACACACCACCTGATTATTGCAAAATACCCTTGCAAAACTAACTTCAATTTCCCTTCATTCCTTGCAATTCCGAGACTTTAAAGTGAAATTCGTTGCCCCGAACCGAGAGATTGGCGAATTCCAAACTTGATAAAGGTAATTTCTTCTGCAATTTCTTCGGTTTTCTTTGCTTTTTGAACTCTCCTCTCTTTTCGTACTTTCGAATTTCCGTCAATTAAAATGGCCGGTAACCCGGAGAAAAGGCCCGTTGAATCTGAAACAAATTCTGGGGAAGAGGAGGAGGAGGTGCCGCAGTTGATTCCAAGGCGAAATCGTCCTCTGGCAATGATGCCTTTTCTCAGTGGCCGGAACCCTAACTCTAGGGCCGGGCCTGCTGACGCTGCGGCAAGAGCTCTATTAAGGGATGTGCCTTTATCTAGTGCACCCCCAAAAGATTCTGAGGGGCCCAGTAAATCTGGACGAAGAGAGATATCGGCGCCCAGGCCCTTGACTCCCAAAGAAAGGGAGTGGGTTGACGAAGAAGAAAACAGGGGCATAATGAGGATTGTGCCCTACTCATGGTGGCTCGAAAACGATGCTAAGTACCGCTTTGTCGAGCAACTCGAGGTTTTTTATGGGATAATGGAAGAGGACGGCTATTGGTGCCGAATGCCTTCCGCTGATGAAAGAATTCACCGAGCCCCACCTTGTTACATAGGTGTTTACACTCGGCAGCTGCAATACGGGCTCAGATTTCCCGTTCATCCATTTTTCGTGAAGTTGTTGAACGGATACAACATTTTTTTAGTTCAGCTGACCCCTGTAAGCATCCGAAAGGTTATGACCTACTTATGGGTCTGTCTGTTTTATGGGCTGGAGCCGAGTGTGCATTGCTTTCGCTGCACACACAAACTGATGCCGAATACCCAGTCCAACAAGTGGCATGGCCCTGGTTGGTGGCAAATTGAGGATGAGAAGGGGTATCTTTCAACTTATCCGAATGACACTTTGGATAAAGACTAGAGAGGGCAGTGGATCTGGATCCGGGCGCCGTCAGACGAAGATCATCCATATTACTTTGGCGGCGCCCGTTATTTAAGGAAACCAGATCCATAAATGTCCAACATCGGCACAGACGAATTTACCGAGGCTGATCGGCGTCAAATGGAGCTCTTTGGCCGAGCAAGCACGCCTGGGGCTACTGGCCGAATGGCAAATGTGCCATCTGTCAGGCTGTCGTGTTGTCATTACATCTCCCAAGAGAAGATGCTCGTTGTTGTCGGCCTCAGCCGAAGATACCAGGGTGGTAAGGAATTCGGTTGGGGCCGAAGCTTGTTATTCATTATCACTATTTTTGCTGCTTTCTGATTTCTGATAACTTTTTTAGCCGCGCTAATTTTTTGCCTTTTGACATTTTCAGAAATCTGCGAGCTAAACTCGGGCATTAATTACAGAGTACTTGGGATCAGCCAAGAGAGAAATCCAATCACGAACACCCCGAAGATAACTGCTTCGAAGGATCGGCCCCTTGCTCTGCAACCGAGAAAGCTCCAAATTGCCAGTGCTTTTGACTATCTGAAGTAAAAGCCTTGGTACAAGAAGGTTGATCCCTTCTTCCTTCACACTGCTGAAGAAGAAGTCGCTGCTACCGCCGCTGTTGCGACCTCCCGAAGCGGTGTCGAACCTCCTGCCTCATCAGCTAAGCCGAGGAAAGGAGTCGAGGAAGAAGAGGACTCTGAAGACGAACGTCTGCTAGAGACCTCGGTGAGTTTTTACTGCTTTCTCAATTTGCGAGACATTGCTTAAGCATAAACCTTCGTCTACTTCACTTTTTCAACTTAAACCTTTCAACTTTTGTCTAAGTATAGAACTTCGTCTACCTTGCTCCTTCTACTTTAAACTTTTCAACTTGTGAAAATTTGTCTAAGTACTAAGCTTCGGCTTGAAGTTTACTTTACTTTTACTTTCTTTCTTTTCTTCTTTGTTTTTTTTTTTTTTTTGCTTATACTGATCCTTGCCCCCCCCCCCTTTTTCTCTTCTACTATAGTGCGACGAAGAGGAAGAGAAAAGAGGTGATCCCGCCGAAGCATACCCTGTTCCAGACTCTTCAGACTAAGGGATGGCCGGCGAGAGAAGGAAAAGAAGACTTGTTAGGCCTGGGGAGTTTGTGGCTCCCCAAATTCCTGTGAAAAGACCTCGTCTTGAAGAAGACAAACAATAAAAGGCCAA